CAGTTCTTGCGCAACGATTGCTGCTGTACACGCACACGTGAGTATATATCTTTTATATTATATAAAATATTATATACCTATACATAAATCGGATTATCAGCTGTGATAATATTGTATAATGTGTATAAGAGCCCAAGGTATACAACGCGTAAAAATACATCGAACTTGTGTGTGTGTGTTGTTTGTGTGAATAATAATAATAATAATAAAAAAATATATAATATTCTCGCAGCTTTCTATTCAGCTGTATGCGGTTTCCTATTGTTCTAAAATAATAATAAGCAGCCTTTATATCTATGGATAACAAACCGAAAATAATGTATTCTAATTTCGATGCCTCTCGCGAACAGCGGAGGCCTATACTCCCACCTAGTCTTAAGAAGACGTATATTATGGTATACGTATATTAACAGCAGCAGCTATGTATAATAATATAATATACGTCTAATACAACAACAACAATAATAATAATGATATATACGCGGGGCGATTACGTATAATATATTATAACGAAATAATAATATAATAACAGCCGCCGTGAGGTCGGGACGGTGGCGACAAAAAGTAGGTTAATAATTCTCTGAAACTATATGCTGCCCAGTTTTCGAGATGACGATGGTTGTTGTAACGGGAAATCCGATCGATGACTGCGGCCATCGATCATAATTGTGTATACGATTAAATATGATATCCATCGTTATATGGTAATCTTAATATATATTTAGGTGTGTGAGCAATATCAATGCTTAACGTGCGCGAATATATGTTTAAGAAAACCGCGAATCAAAAGTCCAACACCGTAATACTTTTGCACTGCGTGAAAACAACGATAATACGAGTGCACCAAGTTGTATGCTATCTTTTTTTTTTTTAAATGTGTTGTCCTCGTATTTATCTCTCTCTTTCTCTCTCTCACTACGCATATTTTTGTATGATTTGTTCATACGATCGACCGACACGAGAGCGCCACGCGGTCGTCACGGCAGCAACGTGCGATTTATTGTGCAGCTGCTGCATAATTAATATAATACCCCGAGCGCGTCCGCGACAAAACGTCTACTTCCGAATGTTTATCAAAACTCATTAACTACTGCTATTTGCTACTATTACTTAAGCAGCATTTAGATTTAGTATATTATTAAAATTTGTGTACATGTTTTAGAGTAACACAATGTGTGCGTTAGGCGTGTCGTCGGTTATAATATGTGTGTGCATACATAGGTATCTATATCATTATTTATTTATGTTTATAAGTACACTCGAAATTAGTGTATATAATGCAACGAACCGTGATTATAGTAATTATTATACTGCCGCGATTTTATGTATTGACCGATTAGAATTTCACGCTTAATTGATTGGAGAACCGTCAAAACATCATATTATTATTATGTGGTCCACTCCCGTAGAAGCATGTAATCCGCGAAAAGTTCTCGATCCACGCACGAATGTGAGACCCCGTCGACAGCAATCTATTTATACATATATAAACAGAGAATCACGTCATATTACGCTGTTTTTACATCGAAAGGGGTGTCTATGCATACTATACTTAGTTCGGTCGTAGAATAATTCACAATCAAGTATTATTTATGACATATTAGAGATATTTAAAGTTTTGAGTATCACCAATCACGATGAAAAAAAAAATTAAATTTTGAAAACAACTATTATATTTCTATATGCCTATATAGGATTATAGGAGTCAATTTATGTTTTTTAAGCGAATATCGACGATATATTATTATCGTATTGTAACAAGGTTTTAGTAATTATTTTAGAAGTTAAGATGGTAGGTATATACTATATACCTGCTATTGAGGGATAATTTCACCTCTGGGAATGTTGGACAGAATAATATATATACCTACTTAAGCGATTTATGAACACAATACGTTGCAGTTGTATATACTGAAAAAGAACTTCCTTTTCTTTTGAACTATATTTTTTTATTTTTTTTTTTTTGATCAATCATGAATAATATATATATATTTATGTATAATATTATTATACATGAATATTACTTGGCAGTGATTGCGATCGGTTGAATCTATTTCATCTACCGCCAAGTCTCTATCGCTCTCTCTGTAAACGCTATATAAAGATAGGTATAGCTACATACCAGTGCCGCCTTTTTTCTATTTTATTATTATTATTTTTATTCTTCTATTTCGCTTGCGCACATAATATAATATATTTTATCCTTTTACACCTCGACCGTTGCACCGAGCTAAGAAGAGACCATTGTTGCCGGCCGTTCGGGCCATAAATCAACCGCCGCAAAATCGTTTCTTATTCGCCGACGCTGACTGGGGCACCTGTTGTCGTCGTCGGGCTGCGTTGAATATGCTTATACATACACACACACACACTCATACAAGTATACACATATGCTACGTGATGCAAAACCGCGTTATAATAAAATCTCGCGACTAGCCGCTGCCGCCAAGCAACACCTCCATGGACAGTGCGTGTCCGATAGTTGCAAATAGTATCCGATTGTCCGAACAGAGCTATGTATTAAGGGCCGCCGTGGTGGTTTTATATGTATACGCAAAGTATGATAATAATAATATAACGTGGTATAAATAAAGCACGACAGATTATAAATTATAACATATATATATATACATATATTATACACACACACACACACACACATACATCGTTGCTCTGAAGAATGTGTCAACGGCAACGAGTCAATCGACGACGCGATATTGCGCGTGATACGGCCGCGGTCTGTCATCTCACGATTGTTTGGCGTCCGCGTGCGATTGTTTCAATAAAAATCGAAGTCATCTCGCAGGTAAGACCTCAGGACTAGTAGTTAATAGTTGCTGAGTTGTACTTTGATTTCTTTCGTTGTCAAAAAAAGAAATTTTTTAATTTTTGAGACCGTACCGTTTTTGAAAAATGCCGAGAAAGAAAGATCAAAAGCGACAAAAAATTTTAACAAAAAAAAAAAAAAAAAATGTTTTTCATGATCCTGCGTGAAAAATCTATAAAAAATAATCCTAATTAATCAACAGTCGTCATATATCTAATGATATGACGACGAAGAACTTTTAGAAAAACTTTAGCGTTCCCAAAAACGTACATTATTTAGGTCTATAACTATCCGTGTAAATATTTTTAATGTGTGTGTCTTTAAACTAAGAGGATTTTGACCACCCACAGCAGTGAAACGTAATTATATTTTAATAATACGTTGATAGGTTCGACTGTAATGTATATTATAGATATTTGAGTACATTATATACGTAACGGTCGGACGAAATATTTTGCATCGCGTTTCAATAAAGATTAGATATTATAATGTTAAAGGTTTTCACTAGTAGGTTTTTCTTTTTGATTATCCAACGAACGCGGTCGTATAATACACTGTAATATACTATATTATAACTGTGTTTCCGGACTGCAAAATTCCGGATGCGTAAAAAATTCAGGCTGTGGGCGTGACACACGATTGAAATGAACAACGTTGTCCGCGTCTGGGCTTCACAGAATATATCTTTTTATAACATATGGCTATAATGCTATTGTGCTCAGCTCAACTCGTTGTCGAAGACCGCAAACGTTAATTTTGCGCACACAGATTAAGCACGTTTTTGGCCCGTTTCTTCGTTTTGCGCACACGTCTTGCGGTCGGTAGGTATATTCACGTATAATATTTTAGTTAAGTATAGGTACGCGCTGATGAATGAAATACTTGAAATATCTAAATACTGCGGCTATATAGTCGAAAATCGGTGTATACAGAGTGTTCGATTGTGGCGTTTGTCCCTATTATTAAAATATTATATTGAAGTAATTGTTATTCTAACTGATACTTTTATAAAATTATGATTTTCTACAATCATGAAAAGTATGTAAATTAGAGTGTTGTCATTATAATATAGCCCGTACAGTAATAAAAATGTAATTTTCGTGTAAATTTAATAATATAACTTATTTTTATTAAATTTATCAAAATAGAATTTTATATAACTTGATATTTTAAAAGTTAAAGGTACCTGTGTATATCAGAAAAATCTTTTTAAAACATTTGTCCTTGTTTAATATGAATTTAGATTTTGTACAAATTTTAAAATTGGGCTGGAAAAATGCACTGTTGTTATAGTTACTTTGCATATTGTATTCACGTAGCTACCTTTCGAATTGAACGATTGTAATATGGAAATTAATGCCTATATATTATCGTTTTGTTACGCATTTTCCAAGTGGCTATACTTTTTATTTTCAAAGATTTAAGTACGAAACAGAAATTAAGTTTTCCAATAATTTTTATGTCATTACAAATACGATTGATATAAGACACATATTTGACGAAAGTTGAAAAAATGTTGGAATTCTCCCTTACATAAATGGGCACTTTGCAGCAAATACCTTTATAGTATAAATATATAACCTATACCAACACATAATTATATATACATTTCCGTTCTGGCCCCTAGGCCGACATTTCAAAGTGACAGTGGGCCGCATGACGTCACACACAATATACGGTACTGAGAGATTTATCGCACGCAGGAAGACATCCTCAACACGACAAACGCATATTATTCGAAGTCGTCGCCGCCGCAATCCTTTCGAAGGTTTGCGTGACGATTATATCGATGTAGGTCATCGGACGACGACGACGACGACGACGACGAAAATATAAGTTTTCGAAACATTTTAAAATAATAAAATATCAATATATTATAATAATATAATATATAGTATAAATATTTCTAAATTTTATCGAAACGTTCTATTTCTTTGATTGACGGTCATTGTTCCATCACCACTTCACGTTTAACCAAAGTTTGTATCTATAGCTATTAAATTTATAGATGGGATAAGATTACGCACATTTAGCATGCTTATATAATTTATGCACGGGCGCAGTTAAAAAATATTAGACTTGTTCGGAATATCGAGCTTATGTATAGCATAAAATGTTTATCGTGTATATGAAATAATGTTTAATTTATTAATATATAAATTGGGTTACATACCTTCTACGAGTGACGTGAGCAGGGTTACGTTTGCGGCCTTTCTTCGACCGGCCGGCAGGTTTAGACCGATTTTTTCGAGCTTTTCACGCAATAGCCGTCCACCATTTTTGGATTTTGCTCTGAAAATATCCCAAAACAAATATTGTATTTTAATGCTATGGTCAAGTTAATAATTTATTGCATTATATACAAATCAAGAAATTTGTGTATAAATCTTTAAACATAACTCGTCATGGTTCTTATATTGTATTAGAAATTGTGTATTCAAAATGATACATGTACCAATAAACGAAATCAGTCAACAATTTTGTGTTCCTTGAGTTTCATTAATTTATATAAATAGCTGAATATTTATTGTTGCAAGGCAGTGACGACTTTTTATCAACCAAAATAAAAACTTGTTATATAATATAATATATTCTTATAACATTATGTTTTAAGACAAATCATATTTTTTTATACTGACTACATGTATTGTAATTGTTTAATAATATATACTACAAATAACGTTTCTCACACTACCACCGTCATTATCGGCGAAATTGTAGATCTGTGTGCCGGCTACACTTCCAAATTTCGAGATTATGATAACGTTATCAAATATACTTTACTTATGAATGTCATTACTCATTATATTCGAAGTAAAGGCAATTATCGTATCATGGATAGACTTTAAAATTGGATACCAAGGAAATTTGTCTCCCTCAAACATGCGAAATAGTGCTCCCGACAATTCTAAAAAAATTAGTTCAGTCACAGTTTTGAACGTCACCAAATGTAAACAATAGTAGTGTACGTGACTCATCCCCGCTACTGATGGTTCTAATTTCAGTAAAAATTATTATTATTATTGTTTTTATTACGACAAGTCACAAACATCGTGGCAATTAAAGGACAACGATAGCATGTATTTTATACACGACTTCAACATTATTGTATCTATATATAATAATATTATGATTATGTTATCCGTGTATATTATAATGTATAATATAATAAGTGTCGTGTCGCGTATAGGCGTAAATGATTAAAACCCTCGACGACGATGAGCGTCGTAAAAACGTTGAAATAAAGGACTTTACGATTGACGAAACGCGTATATATTTTACTGGACATAAAAACGCGTTAAGTGACTTTTTTAGGGTGTACCCGATCGTGCATGTTTTTAAGTGCTTATAACTACCATAAAGGCACACACAACAGGTGTTCACTGACCGTCACGCGGTATGCTGCAGCTCACGCCCGCGTAGGTATACGGCGTTTACCTATATGATATTATTATGTATATAGAAAGCTCCTTGTTTCTACCATCATTGGCTGATCGCTTGGAATTTTTTTTTCTTTTTTTAAAGCCGACAGTAAATTAAACGATGATCTTAAAGAATTTATTGCGTTTAATAATAATAATAAAAATAAAGAAAAATAGGTAGGTATACATATTATACCTCGTTTATATTATATTAATATAATAATAAAAATAAAACGAACATTAAATATGAGAGAAACAACCTACTAGCGGCTGAATCAAGTATTATCGATTTGCACTTGTTAAATGTCCTACACGCAGCACTATATACACACAAACACTGCAAACATAAAAATATATTATAATACATAGATACTTGTAGACGTGACGAATAATATCCCTTCGTCTGACTGGGGGTCACTGTGCTCGTAAAGGTTAATAAAATTAATTTTTCAGTGTATTTATTTTTTATTTATCATCACATTTATTACCGTAATTGATGATCTATCATGGTCGTTTTTAACTGCTAAATAAAATAATTTGTTCGACATCGACGACATCAATGTGAACATGGTCGCAATGTTTCTGCAGAACTGCAGAAGTAACTTTTTGTTTTGGTAATCTTCCGTGTTTTAGCTACACATAATGGTGAGTACCAACATTTGGTGTATCCAATTTGTAAGATAATTTATGATTTCAATTTTTTTTTAAACTCACTTACACGCACTTACACATATATGCAGTAGTTTGCTTAGATAGTTTGGTCACTTTATTCGCAACCGTATATACATCGGAATTGTTAAAATATAAAAAAGTGACACCGTTGAATTTTTTTTTAAATAAGAAATAATTTAATATTTACCTTCTAAGCACACCACCCAATAAAGAGGCATTCAGACATTCTGGAGGTGATAATCTGCGTTGAACTTCACCAACAGTTACTTTGTACTTTGACGTAGAGCTGAGCAATGACAGACGTCCAGGTACGCTGCAAAACACGTCTGATGGGGTAGTGGACATACCTAGAAAAAATTAACAATAATTACTTAGCAAATATTATGACTTAAACAAAATATACTTTAATATATCTATAAATGTAACTTAAAAAAATTAGTATTTAATTATAATTTTTCAGAATTTTAAAGTAAAAATGTTGAAAAATGTTACCTCGTAGGTATATACGTATATATGTAGTATTTATTATGTAGTTATTTTAATTTATTAAATCATTTTTGTACTTTATTTAATTGAATTTAAATAATTCTGAAGTACATATAATTCCATTATATAAAATTAAAAGTATATATATATTATATTATACTATAGGTACTTTTCATTTCATTTGGTTTTAGTTTACATAATGAGCTATTGAAGCTTATTATTTACCAGTCCCTTGAATATTAAATAGTTTCAACATAATATTACAATATGTTACTGGCACAAAGGTGACTGTGAACGAGTGCGCAAAAATTTTCAGACTATTGTCGAAAAAATTCCGAATTATACGAGAGTATACTCATAATTTAATAGTGACATAGTGTTTGACGAACATTTGGTCAATATTTTTAGCCGGAGGTAACGGTAATACACTGCAACTATATCGAACACATAGTATACACACACACACACACACGCATATATATATATAACACAATATAATATGGATATACGTCCACTCGAACGAAATCCCGCCTTCGGATACAATAATAATATTATAACGTCTCAGGTTCTGGCGGGAGGGTGCAAAATGATTGTGTTTAGTGTATGTGCTTTTTCATAACATCGACAATGGGTCTTAAAATAAAAAAAATTCGCTAACACGAACACAACAGATGTTTGCGCACGCCCCCCCGTCAAGTCATACGCGGCACACCCCAAATTAGCCGTGTATACGCACCGCTTGTCGAGGGGGTGCCGTGTTTTTCTGGGCTGTTCTCAGTGAACGCCCCCAGAAAACGTAAAAAAAAAAAAACACAAAAAATAACACTGCAACGCCGAGTACGCATATGAGCTGTATAATATTATATAATTGAGTGCCGAACGCACTTACTACCTTGTCAAATGTCGCATAATATAGGTGTTCCTTTACGTGTAGTATAGAGTGTACAATAGAGGTGTGAAATGCACAGTGGGAAACGGAAATCAAAAGAAAAAAACATAATATTATATACTAACTGAAATAATGTTTTCGTTATTTACAATATTGTTCATAAACGAAAATTACACGCACATTTTGTATATTTTATACACTGTATAATATGCATATTATACTCGTATATGTTGTCACCCGATCATTATATTATATTAATAATAATTATTGTTATTAAATATCGTATGGTGGTATATGCAATAATCATATAGAAGTATATAATATATAATCACTACACGCAATATTGAATACAACACGTAAACGTATAATAATAATCATAATATAATGACGAATGTCTCCGAAATTTATTTTGCATATTATATTTCCCATCGCGTCATTACTGTTGCGGCAGTTTATACCGTATTAAATAATATTTTATAATATTTCGAATTTTCGGGAAACGTGATTATTCGGAATTTTGTGGCGTCGGTGTGTTGGAAAGTATATATATATATTATGTGTGTGTGTGTGTGTGTGTATGGAAACAGTAAGTGAATGAGAGATATGGGAGAGATGTACGCCCCCTCACCTCCGCAAAGTCATTGCCCAGGAATCCAGACGGTGACGGTCTCTTCTCATTAGAGGGGTGAAAAAATCAACTCATAAACGTAATAACGAGCACGAAATCACGTTCGACGTGCAACCCCTTTTTCCATTTGCAAACGAATAAATTTTCATCGTATTATTTTTTTATTTTACAGAAATTATTATTATTTTCTAACCAAAACTCATAAATGATGCCGCATTGGCATATTGAATTATGTACACATATTATACAAACATTGGACATGTATTATTGAGGGTGAGCTATGAAAGTCATGCCGTTACAGATCGTTCAAGGTCTGTGAGCTTGAAGATCGTTATAGGACTTTCTGCGTAAAATAAATATAAAAAAGGACCTAATCATCGAACCGGAACGAGAAAATCACGCATGATAAAATTAAATAAATAAGTATATATATATTATAAAAATACGATTACATGCGGCACACGCACTGATGCTTAATGAAATAATTATTCGAATGGATTTATTAGGCTTGAAAATCTGGAAGGGGGTGACGACTGCTTGCCGGGATAAAGCACCTGGGAACCCGAGCCCGCGGGGCAAAAGGACCCTCGACAATTCGTCGTCAGCGGGACGTCAAACTTTTCCGTTTTATTGGCCCTGCTAGTAAGCCAATCAGCGAAACTGGTCGTGGTCGTTATTGGTACCTAAACATATAGAATACGACACATTACCATGAAAAAATCAAACTATTGCAGCTTACCGTGTATACAAGCGGGTGCACGCTAGTAATTCGTGTTCCGTTAAGAAATTAATCATTACGCGATTTACACGACGATGATAAATAATTTAAATTAAAAACATAATTAAATCTCACAAAGAAAATACGAGAATTCAGTGTGAGAGGACCATAGTCGGGTGACCATAGTCGGGTGCACGGCCCTATATATATTCGTAATTTTTTTTTTTTTTATTAGAGATAAAGGCTTCAACTACTAGAGTTATTAGTCTGGATTTTACAATGTTAACTTAATATTAGGTATTGCTTAAATGTAATTGATTTATAATCATTTTAATTCTATAATTTATTAACAATATTTATTTTTTTGAAAAATTCATGAATTTGAAGGGTGTTATGTTCTCCAAGTGCTTCTTCTATTGTGGATGGATTTTTCAATATGTATCATGAATCATGATGATGAGAATTGGGGAAAATCTAGAATGATGTGATGAATTGATAATGGAACTTTGCAATGACTATTGACTACATAAGGGTTTCTCTTATTTTGTTATGAGGTAAATGTGGGTGAGATTAGTGTGTCCGATTCTTGCCCTGGTAGTAATGACGTCAAGACGGCGAGGTATATTGAATGGAGTATGCCATTTGTTTATATTTTTTTTAATAGTCCCAAGTTTATTGGTGGAAGGTAAAGCTTCCCAAGAATCTTGCCATATCTTAGATGTAACAGAGTTTATTATTTTTAGTAAATCTTGATATGAAAGAGAATATATATTTTGGGATGATGAAGATGAAACATATAATTGTTCGGAGTGTTGGACACACGCGCGTCAAACTGGTAACCGGTATAAGGCCAATTATTTGCGCGTGTGCCATTCGAACATGTATGTATTATCCAAGTATTTAGTAATATCTCGACGTTAAGCGTTTATATATTATACACAATATATAATTATTTTTTTTTTCAAACACACATACATAACTTATATAAATAAGATATTATATTAAGTATATTAAATGTACGAAGGTACTTACGTTTTAGTAGTGGCAAGTCGTTCATAAACGAACTACTGTCGTCCACATTGTGCTCCTGTTGGGGAAAAAAAATAAACGAAAAAATAAATAATCAGTCGTAACATAATATAAGTATAATATAATTATACGATTACGTATATATGCCCATATTACGCGTAGGTACCTGCAATATCGTGATATTGTGTAGAATAGGCTACTGCTTGATTGTAGCCGTATATAAAATAATAATAATATTATTATTATTATTATAACGACGATTGCACTGGTATCATTATTATTAAAAAAAGGCTCGCGCACGATGTTATATTATTACGATTAGGTATTACTCGTATACGTCGTCGTCATGATAATAATATTATTATCGTGTGTATAAAATAACGTAAAGAATCGTCTTCGTATCTGAACGAGTATACAGTAGTAACGTGGAAGAGTGCGTACACGTATAATGTAATATTTTTATTACATAATGTACATATAATATTATTATATTTTCGATAATAATAATTACTATTAACCTCGGCCGAAGATAAATCGAATGCGAAAGGCCACTTAAAAAAACGAAAACGCGCGTTTCAGATTTATTATATTTTATCATGTGTATGCGCACAAACGATATATAGATAATAATATATTATCTATTTTTTTTTAAATATTATTTCTGAGACGTAACGAGTTATGGGCGCACCCGATTAAAAAAAAATTAAAACGCGGTCGTATCTCGGGAGCCGTAGTCTGCCGACACAAGCCGCATCACACACACACACAAACTCAAATGGGCTGGAGTATAATATAGCATTATATGCTACCACTACACTTGTCATGTCTACCGTATAACATATCATAATATATATTATATTTCGTATGTGTTCAAGAATATATTATATATATAAAATATACACGGGGCAGTTGAGCAGTATGTATTAAAATAATGCGCTTATAACAACAGCGGTTCTCCTGCAGGAGGAGTGTCTGGATCAGTAAAACCTATCAGAAAGTATACATAGAGGTACTTGCGTGTACTTATAGCTGTTGCCGGTCTATATGCCAATAATAATAATTGATATCGTATACATATACATATTCATTTAAATCCTGAAAAGAGCTACAATTGCAGCTATACTACAGCTACTACCACTTTTCTACTTGTGAATAATTGTGATCAAACGATGACGACGGCGGCATTAATTATTAATTTCGACTGTATAATATATTGTATAAGTACTATTCGCAGTAATTGCCTATAGTATACTTGTGTATACACTGAATGTCTGTGGTATTTGTCCATACTATTTTAGACTAAAAATTTAAAACGAAATATAGATATCTAATTAACTATTTGAATACTTGTCGGACATGATTATAATTGGGCTTTTAAAATGTTTATAATATACATGAACGCTAACGTTGGGTCTATCTACTCTATCTTATATTTTCAATAATCGCGAAATCAAAAATTATCATGGACTATAATAAAACTAACATAAAATATTTTAATAAATATCTGAAAGCATATTTTTTCATAAGGTATATTAATTAGAGAAAAACTTATTTTATAGTAAAAACACTAGGTATATATAACTATAAATACAGTCTTCTCCATCGTATAATATTATAGAATTCGCATTTAATTATAATAATTATATTATTATTTATTATTATAAATACAAATCAAAGTATCCGTTATAGAATTATAAAAGTGCGGAAATTTATCTCAATGCTATCACGCTGTATAAGAATAAAATATAATAATGCAGTAACAACGTTATTCGTTCCTTGGAATTATTCAAATGATAAAAGGTTTACATTTAAATATAATAGAAAAATTGGTTAAATGGTTTAAACCTCTTTCTCTGAATAACTAAATGTCGCAAATGTTTTATAAATATTATTAGCTTTTTTTTTCAAATAAATATAGCTATTATCTAAACCCTGTTCCCTAATCAAATAATATATGTATATATCGGTCTTTGAGATTGTACAATACACAATCTACTGTAACGGCAGTATCATTTGCAGTGAAAATTCCTTCATGCGTGGTACTGCTGCAATGATCGTCGGCGGTGTTTTTTGTTTGTATAATTAAAAATCTTTGGATCATCGTCGGACCAGCGCGCGTGTTCCGAATAATATCATCAATCATTTGCTGGGCATGGTATTGTCTATAACGTATGTACCATGTGTACATGGTACACGCGTTATAGGTTTATTATTGTATAGATATTAATTCGAAAAACTTTACTACATATGTTCGAATTTTATACTCAACGTATTATTATAGTATCGTTAACTTGGATATTAAATTGTGATAAATAGTCAAGTCAAAGTATCTATATTATATCTGGATATATATCAGTTTGATGGGGAATGTTTAAAAAAACAATGATAGTGGACTTGATTGCAAAACTAACATGCAACTGTTAAACTTAATATTGATCAACTATATTTTAAGCGTTTGCTACAATCGATTGTATAATGTTGTAATCAACGAAATTTTAGCTGATGGCGAAATTACGGTTATTAATGCATCAAATTTTAATGACTCCAAAAATTATGAAAGAGTTCCAACTTAAAATATTATTATCTTGAACAATGTTATCATTTATCATTAAACTACTAAAAAATTTGTTGAATCTGCTAAAAGAAACTTTTATATTTAAAACTGTAGAAAAATTAAGATTTAATTAATTAACAGCTAAAACGTTAAAATTTTAATAATCAAGTATCTTTTCTAGTGATAATACTATATATGTATATATATATATATTTATATTATTTATATATCCCGTATTTTTTTGATTTTCTTACAATTCTACAATGCAGTTTTATTACTGCATATATTTGGCTTAATTTATGTGCACATATTTTATAAAAACTTTAAAAATGTCCATTATATTACTTAATTTTGTTAAGTGACTTTTTATCCAACTTCATCTTAGGGTTATCAAGACTCGACTGTTATATTTATATACTTTGTACGTCATGTATGGGTTATCACAGCTTGCGTATGTATACATGCGCGTTGTATATCCTAATAATTTATACTGTAATTATTATTATGTATAGGTGAGGTTGTAAGCATAGCAACTAACTGCAGTTTCTTACACGATTCGCATATATCAAAAAAACAACGAGCAAAATATTTTCACCCTCTGCCGACAGGACTTTCCAGCTATAATGCGTTATATACTCATTAAAAGCAACCGGTAATCAGCTAACGACGACCGGTTCAACCCTCTCCCGGTCGATAAAAGGCGTGTCTTCGGACACCCGCGGCGCAGTGCTACAGCAGCCCTCGTTTGTAATATCAGAATAATACATTGCAGGTACGCTTTATATTATAATTATAACGGTACCACTATGTTGGTGATAATGATAAATCACGATAAAAATAAAAATCAATCGATTGGAACGCGATGACTCACCTGAGCTTCTTCCACCACGCTAGACAGGGCATTATGTAGAACCAGCGAGTCTTCCAGTCCTGGGTGCGATTGAACGAGTACGTCACCGCGGCCTCGAACTCCGCCGACGCCAGAACCGTACTCGCCTCCCCGGGAACGACCGCTTTCATACGGGAAAGACGGGTGCATGTTGCCCTACGGAACAATAAACAAAAATCACGTTACTACATTATTACACATGGTATTAAATATTGTGTCGTTTATTGAAATTGTAATAGCCTTCTGATATTACATGACACACAGTATATCAGTATATAATATTATTTTCATGTTACAATATAAATACCGACAGGTTTACGTTTGCCGAAAAAATAAAGTATTTTTAATCTACATAAAATAAAACATTTTAATATTTAATTCAAAAGTCTTTATATTACATGATATAAGCCGATTTACCTAACCATTAACTGTCTAGTAGAAAATTTTGATTTTCTTGAACTTGAGATGTTTATTTTATAATTTAGTGTGTTGTAAATAATATATATAATATAGGTATCATACATTGTGTTTATATAATACATATATGATAATATTTTTTAAATAAATATCCTACAAACACTAACAAATATTTTCTTTTAGAACTTATAACGTACTCTAAAACCGTAACGAATATTGTATAAATTTGTTTAACAACAATGAAAAATGAAAATAAAAATTATAAATTAACTATTATAATACGCAATACGTACACAATCAAATTATAGGTGATCAGATGGCAAATATCATATTATAAGAACAACGCGCAATGGTTGTCAAAAGACTGATTATTGTGTATATAACTATTTAGGTAGATACCTACCAATCTGCCATTTATATCTTCTTAGTTGCTTTTATCTTAATTATTACCGATAAAACTAACGTACTGCGGCAACGGGTCGTCACACCACTAACACACAGAGATTGAAAAGTGATATTATAGCATTGTCGCTTTCCTTATGTATAACTATATGGCTAATCTACAACATGACAATATTACTTGTTGTATAAAATCTACAGGGTGAAAATGAATTGAACGGAAATATATCTGACGGGGGAAATGTCCGACGGGAAAATAGTGATGGGGATGTGACCTGCTACCATGATAATGATACTATATAAGGTAACTTTAATACTTGGTACCTATTTAAAAAAAAATGTTTTAATATGTTAACTTTCAATTCCTATGAGAAATTGTACACTTTCATATAAAAATATTAAATATATTATATTACTTAATATATACGTAGAACGTAGGTATAGTACTTATATATGGCTATATAAATATATATTTATGCAATGAATGAAAAATCGTACATTTAAAAATCCAGAATTAGTTTATTTAAACCAAGCATTTTTGGGATGTTTAAATGATTCCCAATACTATCAGTTTATTAACACTTTTGATGATTCCGTTAACGTTTCTCTTACTCACATTATAAAGAAAAAACAGTTTCAGTATTTATATTACCGTAGACGTCGCTATTATATGAGGGCGTGATGTATGTGTGTGTTTGTGTGTGGTCACATTATCGTCATCGTCAGCCTATATGACTAACGTGAACAATTTATTGAAATATGCGTGTATTATGACGTATAAATAACTACCCGAACGCATACTATTGACCGCGGTGCATGCGAGTTTCTTGAGTTATTTTCAATCTAGACGAGTGTTTATTACGATATTACGCGCGGCTGCATCCGTTATTATATCACTTTATGAGTTCGTGAGAGTAAAAATATGATAGCAGTGACATTCGAGTACAATTTATATCAACGTAAATCAGACGGTTTATTATCGTTCAATAAATTAAGTAATACCTAATATTGATAATAATAAAATCGAATAGCAAAAATCATATCACAAATATAAGATTTTCTCTTTTTACATATTATAATATTATACTGTTATTTACATCACAAACAGCAGAGATACGCACATATAACATATAAAAACGCAGCAGTATGATACCAAACACGACGAGGAAAATAAAATAATAATTATTATTTATTGCGTTTATGCGGTCGTAAAGCACGTTAAGATTGACGATTTTACTGATGTAGAGAAAGAGAGAAAGAGACAAAAGACATTATTGCCAACGATCGTTCGAATTTGATTAATCGTCACATGGTATATAATAATATAATACGTTATAATACTAGCTTTAGACACCGAAATGAGTGGTTTTTTTTTTTATTTATTTATTTTGATTTTTTGGTCGGTTATAATTACGGGTCTCGTAACCAGATATGGGAGAGGTTTTCGATAAACGTACACCGCGTGTCCGCGTGTGTATATATTATATATGTATCTATACATACTCTCTCGTTAAGGAATACGCACTCGATATGTCTGCGTAACCTAGATATATATACTTGGCAAAGTCACCTCGCGCATAAAATATGTGTAGTCGAAAAAAAAAGTCCGCACACTGTTTTGTATGTGCGTCGTCGTCATCGAATGCGTATCATCGATGATAATAATTATTGTTATTAGTGCGGGCTGCGCAGATCCGGTCTCGTTTATTTTATACCAAGCCCAAATCGGTCGACTTATAGGTATTATATTATTATTATACTTAAACGACGTCCGATCGGTTGCAGCGGCGGCAGTACTACACCTATACATAAAATAATATTATACGACTACATTCCGTGTACGTGACGGAAGGGCACCCGTCGGAAACTGTTGCACTCTGAACGCGGCAGCAACCTCATCGATCTCGGTCGGTCGGCCGAGAAAGTTTTTTTTTTTTGGCGATATTGATTTATATTTACTTTTTCTCCTCGCCATATAGATATACAAAAGACTCGTCTATATCTTGTATTTGTGAGTATGTGTGTATGTGTGTCCGCTCAAGTCAACATTGTTTTTAATATTATTATTCAGTTGAGACGATCAATACATACAGCGTACTACTGTATAACGTTTATTATAACGGTTCAGTACTCGAAACGAGTACTTATAATGTAATATATAATGAGATCAGATTTTTTTCTATTTACTTCCCTTGCTCAATAGTATATTACGTTTACGACTCTTGAGAAAAATTCACAATTTTTTTTTTATGCATGTATTATTATATTTTATTATGTGCAACGACAAAAAAATCGTATGGTACGATGGCGGTGTAATATGTGAATTTTTCTCAACCAGTTTTTATAACTACAAAAGTAGAACAGGGCATAAAATAATAAAATATTCTAGGTATATATAATACATACGAGTATATGCACGCGTTTATATAGCCGTTAATCATCTGCATATGCACCCGTAAAGAAATGTAATATTATGATGTATAGATAAAAATCAAAAGAGAGTGAGAGAGAGAATGAAATCGAATGCAGTATTTATTGAGCGATAAAAAATGTGTCAAGTCGGATAACACGAGTAATTTTACGATTATCGTGACACGACCGATTTTATATACATAGATATATATAAATATATTAAATTACGAGAAAACTGCTTTGGCTCTATATAAGCTGTATTATTATCGGCAAAAGTTACGCAGAGAGGGTTTATTTACAAAACGACATTCGATTAATATTATATAAACAGTTTAAAATTACGTTTGAAAATAGTTTCACTATAATCCGAATATTAATATGCAATACGTATACATTAATAAATATTCCCGAAGTAGGATTTAGGTATCACATTGGCATGGATTTCTTCATTCTAGTACCAAACATTTAGTATTTACATGTTTTATATTATAATAATCAATAAAACATTTAAGACGTAAATGTATCAAGATTTTCTCAACGTTACTATTTATATATATATTCAAAAACAAAAAAGTCATAATATTAATATTATTAAATTGAAAGTATTACATTTTAGTTTTAATTGCATTACAGCCGTAAGTAATGGATTTTAACTTAAATAAATGTTTTTAGTCTTTATATCAAAAAGCTCTCCACAGATGTGCGCATTTTAATATATTTTGAATAAGTTGATGCTAATTTTATTTTAAATATTGTAGAATAATTAAATATTTTCTAAAATAAAATATAAGTATTAAGTATAATTGTAGAAGAATGTTCATGTTTATTTTAGTATTTTATGTTATACGACACCTAGGTAAGATTAGGACATCTAAGATAAGGTTTGTACACCTTTTGACACTAGTACAAAATGATAATGATTCGATATCTTATTTAGGTATATATTTCTGTATCAATTCAATAGAAATAAATTATACACGGGTCTGCTTTTTGATCATATCATGTTCATGTCGTGCTGTTTTATTTTTAAATTGAAAAATTCTATATTTATAGATTTTTTGAAAAAACATACTGGTTATACAATTTCTGAAAAAAGCATACTTCAAAAACTTGATAACCGTAGGGATTACGAAGAAACTATTTCAGAAATACAAAAAAATTATTAGAGATAGATCTATTTGGGTTTAAATGAATGAAACCACAAACGTTTTTAATATGAAACGCGTGAAAAAAAGTCACCCAATGTTGAGAATTTATAGTCTTTATACAGAACTTTGTTTAATTTATTTTTTTAAATTTTTAATCGTAGTTTAAATCACGATACCATCGTGATTATCGAAAATGGTGTTAGAATTTAGCGCTGAAATTAGAGAATTTAGGTGGTTAGTAAGTCGTGAATGGAATCGTATATATAGTATTTTTGTAGTTTCATTTACTGTGTTAATTTTTAAGTCGGAATGAAAAGTATGATTTGAAACATAGAATGATGCATTTGTAATTATGCAAAAATTTATGGATTGAAAGATTTGAATTCTATATATATAATTGAATTTTTGGTTGCACTGCATACTTGGATGTCGTATGTCTAGAAAGGCATCGATAGTTTTATAAAGGAGTAGTTTAGTTTTTATGTCAAGTTTGAAAAGTTTGCCAAGTAAGTAGAAAAGAAATTTCCGCATAGCGTTTAAGAAAATTCTTTTTTTTTGTGGTAACCGAGAATCTAGAAATAGTTGATAATACCACAGAGTAATTTAAATGTATTCCTGGATGTATTGAAGTTCTAACTAATTAAAAATTATGAAAAACATTGGAAAAATCCTGGATTAAACACTGTAATGTTTATAAGAGATATATTATTAAACAAAATACCAAAAAATAATTTAGAAATCGAATACAATCTGAAAGAATTAACGTGTATAAGAAATGCA